CGCAAAGGCTCCCTGCGCCTTAGGCAGCTGCTGAGCCCCAAGGGCGAGCGGCGCATGGAGGATGAGGGTGGCTTCCCAGTGCCGCAGGAGAACGGGCAACCTGAGAGCCCGCGGCGGCCGTCACTGGGCCGGGGTGACAGCACAGAGGCTGCCACAGGAGATGAGCGGGGCCCGCGGGCGCGCCTGACTTCAGCCACGGCCAATGCCTTGTACAGCAGCAACCTTCGGGATGACACGAAGGCCATTCTGGAGCAGATCAGCGCCCACGGCCAGAAGCACCGTGCAGTCCCTGCCCCGGGCCCTGGCCCGGCCCACAGCAGCCCCGAGCTAGGCCGTCCACCGGCTGCTGGCGGCCTGGCCCCGGATATGTCCGACAAGGACAAGTGTTCAGCCATTTTCCGCTCGGACAGCCTGGGGACCCAGGGCCGGCTGAGCCGCACGCTGCCAGCCAGCGCGGAGGAGCGTGATCGACTGCTGCGCCGCATGGAGAGCATGCGCAAGGAGAAGCGCGTGTACAGCCGCTTTGAGGTCTTCTGCAAGAAAGAGGAGGCCAGCGGCCCTGGGGCAGGGGAAGGCCCCGCGGAGGAGGGCACCAGGGACAGCAAGGTGGGCAAGTTCGTGCCCAAGATCCTGGGCACGTTCAAAGGCAAGAAGTGAGTCTCCTGACATCGCTGCCACGGTCACCCAGAGCCCCCACGGAACAGAGAGCCCTGCGCATGTGTTTGAGCAGAGGCTGTCAGGCCACGGCCACTTGGGACTTGGCTGAGTGCGCCAGACCTCAGCTCCACTGGAGGCTCACCTGGCAGCTGCTGTCTCTGCCCCTGGCCTCCACAACGCTGGGGCTCCAGCCCCTTGCCACCAGTGCCTTTCTCCCCTCAGCACCTTCTCTCTTCAGCACCTTCTCTGCACCGTCAGCCTTGCGTGGCGCAGCATCTGGCTCCGCCATCTCTTTGTGCCTCAGTCCCGCCCCACCTGTTTTTTTTTTGTTTTTTTTTTTGAGACCCAGGGCTGGAATGCAGTTGAGTGGTCTCGGCTCACTGCAACCTCTGCCTCCTGGGTTCCTGCGATTCTCCTGCCTCAGCCTCCTGAGTAGCTGGGATTACAGGTGCCCGCCACCACGCCCAGGTAATTTTTGTATTTTTAGTAGAGACAGGGTTTCACTATGTTGGCCAGGCTGGTCTCCAGCTCCTGGCCTCAAATGATCTGCCCGCCCCAGCCTCCCAAAGTGGGGGATTATAGGCATGAGCCGCACACCCTTCTAAGTCTCTTACCTCTTGCAAGGGCCTCACCTCTGTGCCTCAGCTCCCCATTCTCTGGGCCCTTTTCCTCCTCAGGGCCTCCTGTTCTCAGGGCCTCTCCCCTCCCTCCTCCCTCCTCCCTCCTCCCTCTCTCAGGGTCTTCTCCCTTCCTCGCCGCCCCCAGCCCTGCCCAGGGTCTCCCCCGTCCTCAGGGCTTCACTTCCTTTTCTACTTGGATTCTCTGGCTCGCTGCCTCCCAGCATCTTTCTTGGAGGCCCGTCGTCTTGCTGTGGGGAAGACTGGGCTGGCTGTGGGCAGTTTGCAAGGTGGGGGGGGCATGAAGCGGGACCAGAAGATGCCCCTTGGAGTGGCAAGGAAGCTGGACAAGGCAGGCCACTGGGAAGGGGGTGCAGGGAAGCCCAAAGGTCCGCCTTGGCCAGGTCTGCCGTCTCCTCCAGCAAGGCTCTAGCCAGCACTGGGTGAGAGTGGGAGGGGCACTGGGCTTTGCAGCACAATAAAACATGGTCTGGACAACCTGTAGCCCTGGCCTCGTGAGCACCCCCTGCACAGGCCCAGCCCAAGCCAGGTGCCAGAAGGGCCGGATTTGGGGGGGGCTTATCCTTGACAGGTATGGGACCAGGTGAGGGCAGGGGACAAGGTGCAGCCCAGGCCAAGCCCAGCTGTTTAGACATAGGTCCTGGGCACCCCTGTAGGTGGGAGTGGTCCTTGCCCTCCTAGTGTCCAGCAGACAACCCCCTCCAACCCCATTCTCAGGTCCTTTCCTCTTTGTCACCAACACTAAGAATCTGTCTAGAGTTCCTGGGTTATCTTGTATCTCTTTTCACCCCCAGAGAGGAATTGCAGTTGACTCAGAATGACACATTTTGGCACCACATGTGTAGAACATCCCCCACTGTTAGATGCTAGCCTTGTGAAATTCATGTTTCTGTATTCTCTTTCTTTTCAAAAAATAATCTTTTTAGTGTAATAAATCCTAAGAGGGAACTGATTTAAGAAACAAGGCCACCAAACAAAGGCAGCAGTTCTGACTCCAGCAGCTGGGAGAGAAAGGGAAGTGACCCCACTCTCACTGCTGGACAGCCCACTGGTGACCAAAGCCACCACCCACGTAGGGATGACAGCAGGGACTTCTGGCCAGGGGGCAAAGGTGCCTGGAAGTGGGATGCACCTGAGTGTCTCTTGGCCATGATGTTCTTGTGGGCACATCTGTGTGTGTGCTGTCTGGGGTGTCGCTGAGCGGACAGGCTCTCCAGCTGGAGCCCATGGAGAGGCCAGAGGCTGGCGGCCCTGCCTGGGCCTTTGGAGCCTCCTGCCTGCACCCTCCACATCCTCTAAACCATGATGGAGCACATTTCGGTGTTAATAAAACATAACACACAAAATATTCTAGCACGTTCCCCAGTGTGTATAATCTCCCAGTTATTTCCTGCAGCCTTTAACCATGTGGCCTCCTGGATTTCCCCTGTGGACCCACCACCCAGCCCTGTGGGGGGCACTAAAGACCCCCCAGCTCCACTTCCAAGGCCCACCTTGGCTCCTCCGACTTCATGCTGCTCTCCTGTCCCTGTCCCCGATGCCGCCTGTGCAGGCACACTCCTGAGTGCCCACCTGCGATTCCCCATTCAGCAGCCCTACCACACACTGCCCAGCCTGAGGCCAAGCCTCCAGCCCTGCAGCCCCCTGGCCTCTCTGCAGCGTCCTCTCCCACAGCTTGGTCCTGCTTGTTCAGCACCCTAGGCCTTCAGCACCCAAGCAGCCCCCTTGGGAAACAAACCCCTGGGCTGGGTCTCTGACTGGCTTACCACTTCCTCGGGCCCTCCCGCTCCCTCCTCCGCCGCCTCCAACCTCCCAAGCCCAGCCTCCCTGAGTCTCTTGCAGGTGCCTGGCCTAGCACCAGGGCAGCGCTAGCTCCCACCCTCTGCTCAGCTTCCCCACCCACATCTTGTCCTTCCCCACCCTCCCGCATGGTGGCAATGGCTTCCACAACCCAGGGGCGTCCCTACTCCTGGCAGCCCAACCCTCGACCACAGCACAGGCTGCGCCCTTCTGACTGTGAGCTCCTCCAGCGTGTCAGCTTCCCAGACTGTGAGTCTGGCAGCCCAACCCCCCCACCGACAGCACAGGCTGCGCCCTTTAGACTGTGAGCTCCTCCCAGCCTGCGAACTTTCCAGCTGCCTCCCTGTGTTCCAGCCCCAACCCAGGGGCAGGTGCAGCTGAGGACACCTGGCACCCTAGGACACAGCTTTGTGCCCACAGGGCCCCTTTGATCTCTGCAGCCCTGCACAGCCCTGGCCTGAACTCATACCAGGGCCTTTGCCTGGGGGTGACAAGAGGAGGTAACCCTGACCTCACGAGATGTCTGTCTCCCACCCTCACCTACAGAGACCTGAAGACAGATCAGGCGCAGTGGCTGTACTGGGGGAGCGCAGGCTGCAATCCCTGACAGCAGGGGAGGGGTGAGGCTGCCCCCTTCTTTCTCCCCTTCTCTCCTCTGGCTCAGAGTCACAAACATGGCCATGAGGTGACCCTAGGTCCCTACCCCATAGGACCACCCTGAGGGGCAGCCTGGACCCTGAAGCCACAGCAGGTAGGAAAATGATGGACCAAGGACAGGAAGCTGCCCCAGGCAAACCTAGAGGGAAAAGCCCAGTGCTGGATGTGGAGTGGGCAGGGCCTCTAGTGGGGCGGATGGCACTGAGCTCTGGGGTGGAGGTTTCAGGACAGGGGCGGTGGGGTCCTCAGAGGAGTGGAGGCTCCAGGAAAGGGGTCGGGGCCCCCAGCTAGTGGATGCTGTGACCTCAGAGGGGAGGGGAGGAACGATGGCTGCTCAGATTGGGGGCAGACATGACTTTATTGGAGGAAGTCACTGGGGCTGGGGCAGGGTCCTCATCTGCTCCCCCAAGGAGACCCAGGCGAGCTCCCTGGAACTTCAACGTGGCCTGGCAAAGCAGGGAGGGCTAAGGGGTGCAGGATATCGGGGAGGGGTCTGGGGAAGGGGCCGGGGCAGGAACAGGGGGCCAGGTGAAGGGAGTAGGGCAACTCAAACACGGTGCCTCTCCAGCAGGGGCAGGTGGCCCAGTGCCGAGTGGCAGACAGTCCCATAGGCTTGGGAGTAGCCTCCAAGCAGAGCCCTGGCGGCCCCCTGGGCACCCTGCAAGGCAGAGGTGCTGAACATCCTCCGGCCGGGCCGGGCCTCCGGAGGACACCGGGGAGGGACCTGTGTATAGTTGAGGGTCACATGAAGAGGGTGTCAGAGGGGGTGCAGTGGAGGGGAGGCCTTGAGGTCCTCGAGAGATTTGAACTGGACATTGGAGGGGCAATGGGAAGGATGGGGAAGGGAGGGAAAAGGAGGGGAAGAGGAGGATGAGGGGACGGGGGCAGACTGGGCCGGGCTCACCTGTTGTGTGCTGGCCACCCTCACCCCACCACCCCGGTTCCAGTCACCCCGGATCAGAGCCTGGTTGGCCACCTGAGCTGCAGCCTGTGAGGTCAGGGAAGGCGCAGCTCCCCTCCGGCCTGGCTTCTCCTGGGGAGGGCCATGTCACAAGGTTACAGAAAGGTACAGAGGAAGGGTCCCTCTTGTGCCCACCCCACCATGACTTACCAGCAAGAATGTCAAGGGGGGCTCTTCCTTCGCCCCGGGGGGCCTTTCCCCACTCCCTAGGAGTGCAGGTTGGAGCGTGGGAGAGGAGTTCTGCCTGGGGGTGCTCTTGGCTGCATGGGGGAACTCTGTGGAGTCAGAAAGTCAACCCCAGAGTCAGGAGCCCGACGCTGCGCACAGTTGGCAGCCACAGGCAGAAGGGGCCCGGGCCATGCTCTGTGTGGGTAGTGTGGGTAGCCAGCAAAGATCACACACCGTGCTCGGGGGGGTCATGGCTCGGGCTACTCTGAGGCCTGGGTCTGGGGCCCTGCACAGGTGACCCAGAAGGCAGCTGCGGGTCAGCTCTGGGTTTGTGCAGGTGTGCCTGGGACAGGGAGACACCCTCCAGGCCCTTCTCTCTTGAGGTGCCGTTGCTGCCTTTGCACTCCAGGATCATCTGCAAGAGGAGAAGGGTGCTCAGAGGGCACAGCCTGGGCATGGGTGTTTGGGGGTCTCTAACGTCGGAGGCAGCCTCCAGGGTGCAGTAGACGGGGGATGATGGGGGTCGCGAGCTGGAGCACCTGATAGACGCGGCTGCGGTACTCAGGCGCAGAGAGCTGGACCCCTTCGCGTGCCCGGAGCTGCACATGTACCTTTCGTGCCCACTCATCACTGGGGCAGTGGAACCTGCAGGGAGCCAGAGAGGTGAGGCCTGGGCTGTGGCCAAGGGAGCCCCTCAAGCTGTCATTGCAGGGTCCGTGCTGCGGGGGCTCTCCCTCATGGGCTGGCTCTCTCCTGCTCCCACCTCTGTCCCCCGCACTTAGGGGACTCTCTCCCACTCCCACCTCTGCACGTAGGGGTGCTGCAGTGCCTGGGTGGCGCTTAACCGCTTGTCTGGGGTGAACACCAGGAGTCGCCTAAGGAGGTCCAAGGCCTCTGGGGAAGTGTCTGGCGGTAGGAGGGCGTCCAGCGTCTGTCGTGGCCTGTGGGCTGCCGTGTGTCGTATCCAGGGCCCGACCCAAGGGCCCCTCCTCAGATCCACATTCATGGGTGGGGCTCAGCTTTGAAACTGGGGTCCACCCTGCTGTCCTGTCTAGGTAGATGCCCCTGTGCCTGACCTGCACAGTGGAGAGACCCCTGCAGCCCCCTGGTGCCCTCCTCTCCACGCCTAGCACAGCTCCTCCGGGCCACCCTCTAGGACCACCACCAGGGGCTCCTGCTTTCAGAGTGGCCAACAGTTGTTGGGTTGGGGACTGCCATCATGAAAGCAGGTGGAATCTGAACTGGTACAAATTGGACCCAGTAACCTTGCAGGAAGGTGGCCCTGCTCCCTTGAGACAGGCCACCCTCTCACCCTCACCGAAGTGCCCCCACTCACCGGGACCCCCGGCAGTGCAGCACAGAGGCACGGCAGCCTGAGCCAAGAGCCAGGAGGTCTGGGGCAGCAGAAGGTGGTGTGACCCAGGCAGGCCTGGTAGACTGGGGCGGCTCAGGGTATCTGGGGCCAGCCGTCTCTTCCAGCCCCAGGGAGCACAGCCTCTCTACAGGGTTTCTGCTGTCTGGCAGGGCTCAAACACCCCATCGCCAGGGTGTGCCACCCAGCCTGTGCACGGGAGCACCCGCTCACAACCCCTGCTCCACACTGTGGCACCTGGCCCTGGGGCGTGCTCACACAGGTGGACACTGGCACCCACCTCCACGGATGAGGAGGCTCCACCCGGACAAGTAGATGTACCTGGGAGTGCAGCTCCCTCTTGCCCCCACCCTCAAGAGTGACCCCCATGGCCCCACTACCACTGCCTTCCTCCACCTCTTCCCCTAGCACCTGAATCTCTCCTGCCCAGCTCTCTGTGCGC